GCGCTAACTTACATGATGTGTTCCATGTATCTCTTTTCCGCCCCTTCAGACGGTCTCCCCCCGAGTTCCATGGTCGACCTTACCCTCGCCCCTCTCACATCATCATTGAGGGTCACGAGGAGTTTGTCGTCTCTGATATTGTGTCCCGGCGTATCACTGATGGTGACCCTCCCCGCCTCGAGTATCTCGTTCGATGGAAGGGTTATCCTGACGAGGAGTCTACTTGGGAGCCTCTTGAGCACCTGAAGCATGCTATGACTTTCGTGCGTGCTTTCGATCGTGCTCATCCTTTCCCTTCATCATCCTCCCCTCCTACTTCTCGTCCTTCTACTACTGACCCATCTACCTCTGCGACCACTAACATTCCCCCTCCTCCATCGATGGGTCCGCCTGCTCCACCGGTACCCGCCTCAGGTCCTCCTTCCCCTGTGGCTGGGGTTTCGTCTGTTGTTGCAGTTCATCTCTCTCGACCTCAGTGTACCCATCGACTTCCTTCTCGTTTTCGTGACTGATCTATATCCCCGATATGCTCTTTACCTGTTTCCATTTCTGGACACTTATGCAGCAGCTCCCGGTTTTAGCTTCTACAGTCGGCTCCTACTTCGGCTTCTACATTCGGCTTCTACATTCGGCTTCTACATTCGACTTTCGACCTCAGTGCCGCTCTTCAGTACCAGAGTACCTGTTGCTTTGTTCTGGACTTCTACTCGGTTCTTGCGGTACTCCTACTTCATCCAGGCTACTTCGGTTCAACTTCAGTCTCGACACTCATCAGTTGGACTACTTCACTTTTTCGGCTACGGAATTCCCTTCATTCCCACCTATCCACCACCCTCGAGCTTACCCCTCAGTCGCATGATGACCCCTATTTTCCCTGTCTATGTGGGTGTGTCCGCTCGCCGCCCTTCTGCCTTACCTTATGCTGCGCGCCCTCCTCTGGAGTGTACGTTTTCCTTGCTCGCGGCTTCTGGCCACATGTCTATGCCGGCATAACCCTCTCTTCTTCCAGGCTCACCTTACATGTGCTCCCTTGTGTGAGTGCCCTTCCATCCTTTTAGCTGGCGGTACCCGTTTGATGGTTTCCATTGAGCCCGGTGTCGTGCTGTTACTCCCCCTCTGAGCCTGATGACCCCTTACCTGGTTGTGTGGGTGCCCCCTTGGAGTTTACTCTGAGAGCTGTACCTGCCGCCTTCCCACCCATTCCTACCTCTGCCATGCAACTGAGTCCCTCTCTCTTTTCTTCAGGCATTGTGCATTGTGTACAGGGCACGTGAGACTCTGCCACATTCGTTTTCGACTTAGGACAGTGGTTTAGTTATTCTTTGGCCTTTAGGGCCCCGATGTTGATTTATATTCAACCTATTTGGCTCATGAGACATTTTTCTCTTTCTTGGCCAACACAGGTAAGACATTTTTCTCTTTCTTGGCCGACACAGGTTAGACATTTTTCCTCTTTCTTGGCGGACACAGGTCAGACATTTTTCTACTTTTTGGGTCGACACAGACCAGACATTATGGTATAGATTAGGCTTGAGGCTTAGTCTGCATTGCATTCCTTTTCTTGCATGGAGCCTGCTCCGGATCTAGGATTGTTTCTTTTGCCGTTCCTTTTGGGTTTCCGCTATTTCAGCGAATAGCGTGTTTGATGTATCGCCTGATCCATTCACAGGTCCGAGGATCGTGTAGCGGTACCCCTACGGCCCGGCAGTGAGGCCGGACCAGTCTCAGGCCGTCGGCCTGACCCTGGTCTGGTACCAGGTTGCTCCGCTGCTGGACCTAGGCCGGTATATCACTCCGGCCTAGGCCCAGGGCGGGAGGTTCATTCATTATGTTCGTTCATTTGTTCATTGCCGGACTGGACCTTCACTCAGCTGCTGCTTCCTGTGTGTGTCCATCTCTCTCTCTCTCTCTCTCTCTCTCTCTCTCTCTCTCTCTCTCTCTCTCTCTCTCTCTCTCTCTCTCTCTCTCTCTCTCTCTCTCTCACCATCTCCGCACGTGCCACTACACGTGCGTCACACTATTATGCAAAGGGAACTCAGATGCTAATTCAGCCCTTAGCAAAATAACCGAGAAACGGAAAACAGGTGGCCTTAGCTAGCGATACTAGACCCGGCAACCCAAAACCAGGCCATATTGGCCAAGTGGCCAATTCGGGCATTAACAGCGACAGAACAGCAGCTGCCTTGGATTATCCTAGCCCAACACGATCTCGCAGCGAAATGGCACCTTTCTGACCCAGAAGCGGTCTGGTATGCGCTACTAATGCACCCCTTCACTTCCAAACCAGCCGGCAGCACCTGGAGTGGTATACTCAGGGAATGGGGTAAAATGCTTCCCCAGCTCCTTGAAAATCCACGTCCAGCACGGAGATTCTAAATATGTGTCTGTTTGAAAACCCGAGCGATCAGGGACAGGGCTGGACTTCCGTTCTCGGTATTCAAATCTCCAGGCAACTTCGGACTCAAATGGATGCAGAGGGGAGTAAGGGTTATACGCCATATACCGAACAAGGAACGGAAAGCATGGAAAGCAATGAGGGAATTGAGACGGCTCCTCGCAGGACTCCATCATTCGGAGGAACATCTATCGGCGATCATACAGGCAATCCCAGCAGAATGGGTCGATACCCTCTCCCAGCCAACGGACATCTACAAGGAGCAGCAGTGGTTCAAACCTCGAATCCGGCCTAATATCTTGTTCAGAATTGACAAAGTCAACGAGGATGGCTCTATTGAAGCCTCAGAATGGGCGATAAAGCATTCCCGATTAGTAGAGACTAAGGATACACAAAGCACATCACTACCTGGTATGGAAGAAATCAGAGTACAAAGTACAACAGCAAAAGTCCCCCACTGGCCAACCCTCCTTCCACATAAGTATGAGTTCCAACCCTATCAAGGACTGGAAAGTTAGTTAATATAGACAAATACGGATGGATTCTCTCCACTGGCAGCCCCACTGGAGTACAGTTGAGAATCCCACTCTCTGAATACTCTGCGAAAGTTCTTGGCTGAGAGGTCTTCCAGGCAGGACTCAGATACAGTTTTGCAGACGTAAGTGCTAGAGAATACATAGTAATCAGGGGACGCTGGACTCAGATACAGTTTTCCAGCCGAGAGTACCTTTTGTCCAAAGTGAGATGGGGTAATGACTCCGATGTCCGCCAATGCTCTGAAGATATGTTTTTCAGGGTAGACTGTGGGGAACCCGGCCCTGACATGCAACTTCCAAAGTATATAAGGGACAATGGGCCCGGTTCCCAGCATGTGCTGCTCCCCACAAATAGAATGGAGCCTGGATTTGTAAAAGAAACAAAAAAAAAAAAGAACACATTGAAGATCTATGCCCAAGGGCCATCTGTTGTGATCCGTTTAAAATCTGATCCAAAAACAAGCTCTGTCTTGACTGAAATNAAAGAAAAAGAAAAATGCAAAAAAAAAAAAAAAAAAAAAAAAGGCCGAGAAAGAGGAAATGAGGCTTGGCCTGCCTACCGGCAACCATCCATTCGGTAAAATGGACAGATTAGGAAAGTCGCAATCGAAAAAGGGTGGGGTTGTACGTGCGACGGTGCTGGTTTCGAGAAGGCGGCGGAGAAGCCCAGCGGGAGATTGGGGGGGGGTGGAGATGGGGAAGTGAGGGGTGAGTGAGTCAGGGGGGAAGTGAATGAGGGGGGAGTGCGTGGGAGAAACGATAATGGGAACAAGTAAAGCGAGCATGCGAAACGCGTTCAGTTCCTCTGTCGTGAACTGGTGAAGGGAGGGAGAGGCGGCGGCGAGAGGAGGAGGAGGAGGAGGAGGAGGAGGAGGAGAGGTAGAGGAGAGAAACCTCGTATACGTATTCATGAACGCTTTGCTAGCTCCCGTCACAACGCTTCTACTCGCCCTCCTTCTCCTTCTCCTCCTCCTCCTCTCCATCCCCATCCCCCATCCTTCACCAGTTCATGGCAGTGGAACGCAATGCATAAACGATCGCGAGGAGAAGGGAAAGAACAGGAAGAAGAAGAAGAAGAAGAAGAAAGAGGAGGAGGTGAAAGAGGAGGAGGAGAAAAGGGGGGGTGGGGGGAAGAAAGGGGAGGGGGGCGAGGAGGAGGGAGGAGAAAGGAGGAGGGAGGAGGACGAGGGGAGGCGAGGAGCCTAGCGCCTGTCTCTTATACACATCTAGATGTGTATAAGAGACAGCGGTATAACAGGTAAGGCTTTTAAAAAAAAAAAAAAAAAAAAAAAAAAAAAACAGATCGGATCATGGACGGAAAAAAAAAATGCGATGTTCGCCTGGGGCCGGAGGTCCCACTACCGTAGCAAGGAGGATTAGATTACGTGCCTGAATCTGGATGGGTTTTTGGCAAAAAAAAAGATGCACAAATGCAGATCAATAATCAATTGCGATTATCTGCGCCTCTTCACAAACACGACCAGATTTTGAAATCCAATCCTCTGTTGCTACAAACAAGAAAAAATGCAACCCCCCTTCTCCCCCCCCAAAAAAAAGAAAGCCAATGGCATGGAAACTGGTTGATGTGTAAAAAGTAAAAAAAAAAAAAAAAAAAAAAGATGGTTCCTGTATCCATTCAGGGGAAAACAAAAAGGGGGTTGGCAGGGAGGGGGGAAATTCAGAGGGTGATACCAAGAGGCCTAGCTCAGTTGGTACACCCATAAACTTTGGACAAGCAGACCATCAAAAAAAAAAAAAAAAAAAAAAAAAAAAAAAAAAAAAAAAAAGAAAGAAAGAAAGCAGACCCGAATTCGGATCGAGACGGAACGTGACGAATGGAAACAGATATCTGTGAATGATCTGAGGCCGGTGGTATCTCAAAGCCGGTCGGTGCCCTTCTTCTTTTTTTTTTCCTAAAAAGAAGAAAAATTTCAGAGGAGAAGGGGAGGGAAGGGAGGGTGCTTACCCAATTAAAAAAAAAAAAAGGGAGGGTGCTTAAATGAATTGCCGTTCCTCCGCGTCAGCAACAAGGAGGAATATCCTTCCCTTCCCTGACGGCCAGATGAAGAGAGAAAAAGACTGTAAAAGAGAAAGGGGAAAAAAAACGGATGAGAGAGAGAGAGAGGAAGCGAATTAGAAACGAGGGTTGGATATTAAAAAAAGAGAAAGCAGCTAAAGAAAAAGAAAAATGCAAAANCACACACACACACACACACACAGAGAGAGAGAGAGAGAGAGAGAGAGAGAGAGAGAGAGAGAGAGAGAGAGAGAGAGAGAGAGAGAGAGAGAAAGAGAAAGAGACCGTGCAGGTGTCTCTTTTAAAAAAGAAAAGAAAAGAAAAGAAAAGAAAAGAAAAGACACTTCAGACAGAGAGAAAAAGAATTCAATAAGCTATTCATGTCCCAAAACTTCTATCTCCAGCGTCACCAATGCCTGGCACAATCATTCCTCTGGAATTGAGCTCTGGGTCAATGATTCCCGCGTAAATTCGAAGCCCTTCATACTTAGTCAATTTCTGCAGGCCAGTCGGGCAGCATACTGCAGTAATTACTCTCATCAGCCTTGTGTCTACTCCTCGCGCTCGCAGTTCTTCAATCGTGGCCTCTAGCGTTCCCCCGGTGGCGATCAGCGGATCTACGACCATGACTCGGGAATCTTCTGGGAACGTCTCAGGCAGTCTGTTCAAATACAACGAGGGGAGTAATGATTGGTCATCCCGATTGTAACCCACGTGATAGGTCTGCGAAGCTGGCAGCAGAGAGCTTGCTTCCTCCAGCATCACTACCCCAGCTCTCAAGATGGGTACCAGCTTGATTGGCTGGCTGGGGTCGACGAACGACACGTCAGCTTCGCCTAGAGGGGTCTGAATCTGCATGTCAACCAAAGGCATCCAATCACGTGTGGCCTCGTAGACCAGAAGACGGCCAAGTTCCGCTAAAGCCCCCCTAAATATCGTTGGAGGGGTAGCCTCGTTCCTTAGGACTGCAATCCAGTGTTTGATCAGCGGATGAGGAGGGACGAAGACGAGCATCTGACGGCTATTGAACTCCGTAGCAGTCGTCGCTGTCGCTGACGCTGACGAGGGAGAAGCCGAGGCTCTAGCAGGACGGGTAGTACGCCCAAAACCACCTCCACGTGCAGTTGCACCATACCTCCCCCCCCCCTCCTCCTCCTCTGCCTCCTCCTTCTCCGCGCGTTCGCACTTCCTTCCCCTCCTCCTTTGTGGCCATTGCCAGGCCATGAGGTCGCTATGCGAGCTGCCAAAGCGCGCGAAACTTGAAACATGCCGCCAACATAAGCCCTTGGCGACGATACGAGCTCCTGCTGCGACTTTCCCGCCATTTCTTCCGCATCTTATCCCGCCGTTTTCGCAGGGTATACGCTGCGGGCCGTCGATCGAAAATGATCGCCGCCTATGAGAGCCTGAGGACGTTGGGAGGAACGAGGAAGAAAAAGGAGGAGAAGGAGAGGGAGAAGGAGAGGAAGGAGGAGAGAGGGTGAGCACCGGCTCCGCGTCGTGCAGGCATGGAGCAAGCACCCGGCTATGGCTGATCATCGCCTTCGCCATCTTTCACCAAGTGGCTCGCTGCAACGCAAACTCCGGTGACGGTTCGGAGCCCGCTGAAGTGATTCACCGGACCAGAGCATTTGTCGGGCGGAAGATGAAATGGATAACTTTTACCCCCACCAAAAAAAAAAAGAAATGGATAACGAAACCGCCCCCCATGTGGGTAATGGGTTTAACCATGAGCTACACAGATAGGGCCTCGCCACAGTGGAGACGAAACGCAAACGAAACGAGTGCATCTGCCCACGCTTGGTGGCGAAATACAGTCGTTATTATTTATAGCAACCCGATGAACCTGATCATTTTCTCTCGGAAGATACGCTCCTTTCGATTTTTCGTCTCGTGTGCCGTGCGGCGACGCCCTTAATAATCAAATTGGAGGGTTTTTTTTTTTTTTTTTTTTTTTTTTCAAATTGGAGTTCGAACACTGCCGAGATCAGTCAGATGAATAAAGAAACCCTGATTTCGTTTCGGGTATAAGTTGAAAATTAGTAAATTACCCAGATAAGTTGAGAGATATCTCAGAATGGCCCTGAAAGATGTGGGAAGGTTGGAATGCCCTTCTGGGCTGAAATCTTTGTGTTATGTCGCTGTCAGGCCGATGTGCAAACTTGCAATCTGGTCCTGACCCTTTGCCCCTTGGCCTCGGAAAAGTTGGCACGTACGGGGCCATTTTGCGAAGTTGGACGATACCTGGTTGGGGTATATTGCAAAGATGGGAGGCCAATCGACGCCAGGGGTATTTCGCAACAATAACTTTTTTCTCCGAGTGGCATTCCACACTATTCACAATTTCACACCTTTTAGGGGTACATCTCAACTTATGGGGTGATTTTGCAAATTATCCCTTTCTTTTGGAGATAATTTGCAAAACACCTTCCCATAAGTTGAGATATATACCCCTGGTGTCGGTTAGACCCGCAATCTTTGCAATATACCCCTACCCGGTACCATCCAACTTTGCAAAATGCCCAGTTACTTGCCAACTTTCCCAGGGTCCAATTGCAAAATGTCCATGGCGAGGTCCACATTGCAAATTTGTGCACCCGCCTAACAGGTGCATAACACAAAGAATTGGACTCAAAAGGGCATTCCTCTCTACCCACATCTTTCAGGAGTATTTTGGCATATCTTACAGGTCCCCCCCCCCCTCTCTCAAAATTCAGTTCAGATTCATAGCGGGGTCGGGGGTTAGCACGGGTTGGGCGGTAGACAATCCCGCTATGATTTTTGAAATCGTGGCGGGAAGGTCTATCCCCCGCCCCACATAACCCCCGTCCCCACTCTCGTGCCCATCCACACCGTCGGCGCCTGCTGGCCATCGCTGTTGTCGCCATGGCCGTGGAGTGCAGTTGTTGTCCTCGCCATCGTCGTCAACTTGGTCGCCATCCCCAATGCTAGGGGTGTGTGTGTGTGTGTGTGTGTGTGTGTGTGTGTGTGTGTGTGTGTGTGTGTGTGTGTGTGTGTGTGTGTGTG